TTAATCCTCTGCTTCTTAATGCCCTAATGCTGCGCATGCAAAATTTTTAAAATTATATGCATTAAGCTAAGAAAAGATTTTCTTAACCTTTTTCTTCTCTTATCCTTTCGTAAAATGTATTTATGAAGGCTGTGGAGAATAAAATCCTATCTGTTGATTCCAAAGAAAATCTTTTAAAATGACCTGCAAACTCTGGTGGATTCTGAAGCATTGCGGGAGATGTGGTGATTCTTGGGGCAAATTACCACCGTATATTTTTCACATGGAGCTGCATAAGAAAAGAAGAGACCTTTTTGTGTCTGCGAATAAAAGTAAATCCCCGCTTTTCAGCTGCAGCCGCTCGGATTTTCGAGCAGATTAAGCCGAATGTCTTTGAGCACATCTAGAAAATTTCCAGCTTCCTTGATGGCATTGTCGTCTTTCTCTTTTACGTCGTTTTTCGCTTTCGATCTGCAGCTTGAACGAAAGTCGCTTTCGACAGGCCAAATTTATTATACCGCCCGCTCGGCTGCGATCTCTGAATGGATCTGAATAACTTTCGCCGGAATATTTCCATCTTCTTTCGCTTCCGACTCATTTCAGACGGGCCACGCCGAGAGAAAGGGAGGCTTTGTTATATTTGTAACTAATCCCGTGGAATTAAACACACGCACCGAGCAGTTAAATTTGTTGGAGGGATTTCGCTTTGGGGAATTTGTCATTGGTAATTGAAATTCGACGAACGCGCAGGAGGAAAGGCAGAGCCCGATTCCTTATTAGTGTGTGGGCCTGAAAAATGGTCACGACTACAGCACAAAAGAGCCTAATGAGAGGGAGAGAATGGCGGAAGAGAGGCGACGCGCGTGTTCCCCCCTCAGATCAAATATTTCCATGCCATTTGCGTCGACGGTGTTGAATTTATCCCGTTATTGCCTTCAATCAGTGCACGTCGCGACCATTGAAAAATGCATTTGCCAATGACTAATGGACTGGCCCAACGCTTTTTCCAATATTCCTCCACGTTTCTAAAAATCGACAAAAAAAAAATCGGCCGAGCTCATTCGAATTTGTTTCACTTTGACTGACATGGCACGTTTTCCAGATGAGACACTCCAATTGTATTCAATTTTTTTACTGCCCAAAAATTACATCCCAATTTCATATTTGTTTAAGTTAAAAAAATAAAATAAAATAAAAATCTTTGAGTAGTTAGTTTTATTTTCAAAATAAACTTATTGAGTATGTCACAGAGATAATCACTGACCATAATAAGTTAAATTTATTTCCAATGATCATAATTTGAGTAAAGACAGTAAAGCATAGAGCAAAAAGCTGTTTTAAATTTAATTTTCAAATCTCTTAAAAAAAATTGATAGATTTAAGATTTTAGCAATAGCTGTTCACTGTTTCTTGATAACTTACTTAACCCTTAATTAATATATAATAAAACTGTTGTTAAATTCTGAAACTTTTACTCTAATAAAATTAAAAATGCTTCGCAAAACAGCAACCTATAACATGATGTTGAGTAAAACTTCCAAGTTTCATCAAAAGCTCAAAATTTCCCGTGTCTGCAAAATATACCTCGGGAGAAAATTTAAGTTCCTTTATCGGAAGCATTAATTTCACCACGAAAGATTCCCGCGTGTGCCACGCTCGAGTCAAACTCGATCCAAACTACTTGCAAGACTTAATAAGTTTAAAGGGTGATTCTAACTAAATTTCATCAGAGAGTTGCGGGCGGGCACAAATAATTCACGGGCCGTAGAGAGACTGTGGACGGCGTTCTCGCGTGTTTGTATGCAGTGCGCAGGAAAGGTCGTAACGAGACGGCGCTGCCAAATATATTTTAATCCTTTTTAAAATTCTAACAGTGCTTAAATATTCAGCACGCATTACGCTTTGTGTCTCTCTCTCTCCCTCCCGTTTCTCAGGCTGCTAAATTTTTAATCACGCTCCCCGCCGGCTCCTTTGAGAGCTAGATTAATGAGCGACCGCTTTAGATTAAAGCCTGCTGATGGAATTAATGACTCGCTGCCAATCGATCAATGTGCCGGGCCTACTTATCCAAATAGGGAAAAAGCGATAACAGATTTTTCTCCTTTTAATAACGCAAATCTTGGCAAACTTCACTCCGATTATTTATTGTACAGCTTCAGCTGGAGAAGTTACTTGAGAAAACTTTGATTGTACCTTTATAGCGTAAAATAATTATGATGACTGTAAGAAATTTATAGAAAATTTTGTGGTTCATTTTTTATATAAGTCAGATTCATAAATTAACTAATACATAAAACGACTAACTATAATAAAATTTCTTTTTAAAAAGCATTATTATTGGTTTGACTCCATAAATAAGCAACTAACTAAGAACTGTCCTTTTTACTTTAAAAAATCATCTTTAATATAATAAATACACTATTCTTACCAAATAAAAAGTTTTAAGTTTCTGAATTTACCTAAATATAACTAAACTTTAAAAAATATAGTAACAGTTTTTAATACTAATCTGTTTCTAATTTTATTTTTATACATTGTAATAATTTATTAAATATAAATTTAATATTAATAATTAACATTTTTTATTTTGCAATATTATAATAAGACTTGATTTGAAAAATTTATTTTTCCTTTTAATATATCTCTACTACATTTTTTTTAAATTTAGAGTAAATATATTGACGCACAACTTCCAGTGACAGTTTACATTCATAAGCAATTATCTTAACCCAAGCAGGCTTGACGTTAGCTGAATTAATTTCTAAATTTCTATTGCATTAACATTTATTATTGAATTTTATCCAGTAATCAATTACAGAAAATTATTAAGACAATCAGAATTTAATTTAGTATTCTAATTAAATTAACCTTTGTCTTAACCTTTATCTTACAGATGCATGGATGATCGAAAGCTTCAAACAAAAAGTTAATTTCGTTCATTAAATAGTCAGTGAGGCATCCTACGATATCTTAAATAAATCAACGCGTTTATCCACTTAATTTGCATCTACTCTTTTGGCAAAACCGTGAAATTAATGCTCCGGTCGGCACTTGAGAGCGACACAAGGCACAAAAGTTAATTGGGCTTCTTTTTCGGCGATGCCGTGGAGAGCGAAATGATGTTTGCTCGACTCTTTTGTGCGCTCTGTTTGTTTGTCGAGCAGTTTTGCGAGAATCGAGGCAGTGGGGATAAAGGCCAACAATTACGAGGCGGGAACAAAGAAGGTGGTGTCGAACAAAAGACTCCTTGCGAACCGGCCGCTGATAATAATTACACACAAAGACGAAATAAAAACCAATAAATAAGTTAAGTAAATAAATCCGCCGACCCAGTTTCCCTTTCACGCCCGCGGATCAGCGGCACGAAGCAAAGGCAATTTTTTATCTGCGTCGGCAGGCGAACAAAACGTGTTTTAACAGTGCAAAGCAGAAATTGGCGAACGCACGCTCTTTATTCTCTCTTTTACGTGCGGCCTGGAAATTGACGCCTGCTTCATAAAGATAGCTTTCTCTGCGCACTCGAGAAAGGTGCCATAACAATGAAAAAGCTGTAGACTTTGATATTGCCAAAGCATGTGCCTCGAATAAAATTGTACTCGCTCTTTCGTGCACCTGCATTTTCTCGGCACCTGCTTGTTCTCGCGCTTTTGCCCAAATCGCTTCCCGCGCTCAATTTTTGCCCGTGCGACACCGATATTGGACGCGAAATGAGATTTTGCATGGAGCCTTTTTGCGATTGCCAATTATTTGGGGATTGCCGCATTTTTGGCCACCGCATCGATCCATCCGGCGTTGAAATTGACAATCGCTCGCTTATCGGCGTGTTTTATGGCGTGATAAAAATTTCCGCGCACTCAATCGACCGGAAACCATCAGTCAACAACGCAGCCCACATTCAACGTGTGTTGCTCTAATCCGTGAAATCCAGTTATTTGCATTCAGCTACTTTTTATTTGTAAATATTTTGTAAAATAAATATTGACATCTAGTAAATTCAATCATTTAAAAGAATTTAACTCTGAACAAGAAAATTTTGTTAAAAATTTACTGAATATTATTTGAAATTTATTGAAACTTAAGAAACGGTTAACGAAGAAGCATTTCAGTTTCCTAATCAAATACAATAATTTATTTACTCAAAATTATTCCGTGTTTTATTAACTGCAAAAATAAAGCATTGTTGCATGATTTAAATAGAGATTTGCTGCTTTCCTTATCTTTATAATGTAAATAAAAAAATTAATTTACAGAATATTTTTAATTTTATGTGTTTAACTATTAATTATACAACCAATTTTTAATTTTAATTAGTTAAATGTGGAATTATAATTAAATCTTTTTAATCATCAATTATAATATAAATAGTTATCATTCTCATCAAAATATTGAAATTTTATTGATGATGGGATTCGCATGCTTTTATTAAATTCTCAGCGAAATATGGTAAATTTTTATAGCTAAATAAATGATAATAAAAAATTACTTATTTTTAGCTGTTTCCATGGATAAAAAAAATGAGTTAAATAAACGTTTCTCTTCTGCTTCGCAATTTCTTAGGCACATTTTGCTCAAACACAGAGCTCTCGCAGAAAATGAAACTTTTTATCATCGTCGGAAGGAGTTTTACATGTCATAAAGAGACTCGTCAACGATGCGATGTGTGCTCCCGCGCTTCTTCCACTATATTGCTTTATAATCTCATATATTAAATCTCTCATACGCGAGCGCGCACCCGCTTTCCCTTTTTGTAAAAAGGTTTAAATTATACGTCAAAAGCGGAGCGCGGCGAATTCTTCTCCCCCACATCGTTATCATTGACATTGCAAATCACATTTTGCCTTTTAGCAAAGAAAGTTCTCTCAAAAGCATCACAAGAGCACGCATTCGTCCTCTGCGTTCAAGAGCCCTTAAATTGAGCCATTGAGGCGTGCACCGTGCGAGCACCATGCAAATTAGCCATTAGCGATCATCCCCCTTTCAATTCTCGCCAAAATAACTCTTTCTCCGTTTCGTGTTTGCAGCCGGGTGTTGTGTGGGGCTGCGCGAAGTCCGCGTCGTGGTGCCGCCCGACGTCCGCCATGGCGAGGACGCCGTCCTACAGTGTCTGTTCGACTTGGAGGGCGACTCGCTCTACTCGGTCAAGTGGTACAAGGGGCAGCACGAGTTCTACAGGTTCACCCCGAAGGAGACGCCATCGATGAAGATCTTTCCGCTGCAAGGAATCAAGATAGACGTGAGTTGAAAACTGGAAAACCTTAACTCTGTACACCATTAGGTGTGCTACAATTAATCTTATATTCTTATTATTAATAAGCAAAAACAGACATAAAGGAGTTGGAGAAATATTTTCCCCAAAGATTCCTTTTACACGTGCTTAGGGCTGAGCGTTTTAGTCTATTTTTAAGGTCAAAATAGTCGAATTTTTTTAGTCGATTTTCAGCCTAAATTCAGTTGATTTTAGTCTATTTTCGATCAAAAATAGTCTGTTTTAGTCTATTTTGAGAATTTAATAATTAAGGCAAGAAGGAAAGAAAAAAAAAATTTTTTTTCAAAAAATTTGGCTAGAAATGATCGAAATGGTAAGTCCGAAATTTTTAGATGGTTACTATAAAATATTTTTTTCTATCAAGACCGTCACGAGGGTGGGCCAGGGTTCCAGGGGTGTGGGGTAAAAAAAATGTTTCAAAATATTTAGCTAGAAATGATTCAAATGGTCTGAACAAGATTTTTAGATGGTTGCCAAAAACCATTTTTTTTCACTTGGAGCTCAAATTTCTGAATAAAAAATGAGACTTTTCAGCCTTTTTAGTCGGTTTTATTCTGTTTTTAGTCGAAATAGTCGATTTTTGTCAATTTATTCTATTTTGACCCTAGCTTAATCGACTCAAAATCGCATGATTCGTGCTCATTTCATAACCCCAACATCCTCCGAAGATCAGAAAAAAAATAGTTGATCGACTAAAACGCTCAGCCATGCTGCAGATTCGATAATCAAAGAAATGATGGAATTTAATTTTCTCACCACATTTTCATATAAGCGCAGAATGATTATTCTTTATTTTTGCATTATGAAAACAATGAATCGTCTAATATAAAAATGTATTCTTATCAAAATATGCAACCATGCTACAATTCTGAGACCAATTAAGGGTGGGGGTAACAAATCATCTATCTGTCGTTAGTTAAAAAAAATATTTCAGTTTTTTTCCCTTTTTAATTGGAGTTTTAACAAGATCTAGCTACGTTTATTTTTCATTTCATTCAAATGCGTGCGCCTCTTGAGTGCCTTGCACAACTGCAATTTTTAATTAAGCATTTTTTACTCTATGTGCTGCGATACTGAAAAGAGGTTTAAATGCAAACGCAACTGCATTTTAATTGGAGTGTATACAAAGTTGGTGTACAAGGATGCTTAAAAATTTTCAAGGAGTACATTTTTGCTGTGGCAGTCGAGGCAGAATGGTTGTATCTCGGCATGCTTGAAAGGCAAACACACATAATGTGCTGCAGTATCAAGTCCGCCTCTTTTTTTGCTCTCGGGATAAAAGCAGCGACGCATAGAGTGAAAAACTTTCAGGGTTTCCTTCAGCCTTCCATCACGCTGCTGGAAAAAAGGTAACATTAGAATGTTTTAAGATATCGAGTGACACACGCGGGGCTGCTCTTTCGCCAGCCGTCAATCTCGGCCCGCTCTCTGTGCAAATAAACGCGGTCAAATATTTACAACGAAACCACTTTGCTCCAAAGACATTAGGCTTCAAACAACCTGGGAAATGTATTTATGAAACAAGCGAGTTTAAATATTCACGTCAGGAGTTTGTGATATATTTTATTTCTCTAGACTGTCATGACACATTTTATTTTCACTGCTTTTGCACGTTTTAATTAAGGTATATGAAAGACCGTCTCTTGTGTGCGCAACTTCTCTTTATTCAGCCCACACTTGCCGATCCTTAAGGAGTTTAAATTTTTAGTTCTTCCTCTAAACTCCCAAGGCTCTCATTTAAACTAAAATAATAGAATAATGTTTGTCTAACTGAAAGAAAGGACGAGAAAAACCAGCCAGTTTAGTAAAGTGCGCAGGAAACAACTATGAGAATAAATGAGTAATTAAAAGGTTTTCCGAGAAATTTTAAGCAACTCTTGATATATTTTCATCTATTTTATTCTCCGTTTGCATCAACGGTAATATTTTCAAAGAATTCAGCTTCATTTTTTTATAAAAACAAGAAATAATAATAAATAATAAATAAAAATGTATATAATTTATTATTTATATCATAATAGCTTGTATGTTGCATACAAATCTTTTTATTTTTTAATAACGCTAAAAAATTTTGCACAAAATATTTGTGCTGATTTTTGATAATAATTTTTAATGATATTTGAATGTGCATGCAAACCAAGTAATATTGTGCAAAATATTACAAGTAAGCATTGATGCGGGTTTATATTGGCGGCAAGAAAATTATTAGTGCACGAGAGATGAGATTACATTTTTCAATGTATTTATACAGAATATGCCTACGCTGCGTGTTCAATAATATTGTGCAATCTCTGCGCTCCCATAAGAACAAGGGAGCTGGAAAAAAGTATGCGATGCGAAATGAGTTTGCGTTCCACTTAAAGTGCATTTGAAACGAAACAAACGTAAAATGCAGATCAATAATTATTTATAAGGAAGCTATTGAGAAGATTATTTTTCTCTGTGGATTTCGAATGATTTTTCCGCTGCACGGATTTGATTCACTTAAACGCAGCTGTTGCTTCTCTTCGTTGATTTTGCATTCTTCCCGAGTGAATCTCAAATGAAATGGGACACAATAAATGTTTCACCAACGCCAATAAAATGAGCCGGCCGATATTGTCCTGGATAAAAACGAGGCCGTTCGCCACAGGTGAGGACCGACTTTTTTGTTAGTGCCACCCAAAACTTATAGTGTCAATCGGACCCTTCCGCTTTTTTATTGTCCTCAGCAAAATGCATCCGATTTCTATTTGGTCCTTTTCGCCGCCTCCGACTCGAAAGGAGCAGAGGGAAAAGTGGAAAACGCTGTTCAGTTTATATATTTGTGTTCGCGATACGGGCCAATCAGAAATCAATGCGGTGCATTTGGCATTCACGTCACGAAAACACCATTCATTATTTACCGGCGCGGCGTGGTGAAAATTTAATTATGAGAGAGAGAAGAGAATCGGCACTCCGTCGGTGTCGCCGCCCGAATCCGGTTAAAGGTGCGCATTGTCTCACGTCCGAATATCATCACCGCTTTTCCAGCTCGTGTTCACTGGAATCGAGGTGTTCAGGCTATTTTCCACTTCGGAAAGCACTTTGGGCTTTTAAATAATTTCGGCCGAAACCAAGCAAGCGAGTTTCTAGTTAATTCTTATTGCTGCAGCTTGGGATAAAAATAAAACGCCTGAAAAAATCACTATAAAAAAATATTACAGTTTAAAAAGTGCTCCAGAAAGTGGGATACGTCTATGTAAAATTTTGAAAGTATTGCAAATTCGCAGATTTTTTTTTTTTAAATTTTTGAATAAATAAAATCTTAGGTTTCAATATTTATGAGACTAATTACAGCAGTGCCGGAGAATAGGTTTTAAGGATATCATACTTAATCTACAAATTTAATTAGTTAAACGTTTAACTATTAATTGTCACACATGCCTTTCATAGGGTGTGTAGATCACTTTTTCAAACACAAATCTTACTTTTTTAAGTTATTCAAAATTAAGTGTTTAAAAATATTTACATTATGATAGTCGCTAAAGTGGAAATAATCAGGACAAAAAAATAATGGTTAATATACCAAACCAAGGTATTTAAAATGTTGATACTTTTATAAAAAAAAAAATATTTTAAATAATATAATTAGGATAAAAACAAAAACCAAGTTAACCAAAGCTTAATGCGGCGCACGGGCTTTTTTATCTTAGAAGTTTTAAAAAGTGGTAATGCCCTTTTGTCCAACAAGTCCTTTCCTTTTCAATTAAATTGTTTTCAGCAAATGAATTTAAACGTTGTGGTGTAACAATTCGGGCAACTAAATGACAATAATAAATTATTTAAGCATAAAAAAAATAATCTATAAAGTAAATTTCAAATATAAAATGTTTAAGTTTTTATGAATGAAAATCTGCAAACATTAATATAGGGATGCTGAGAGGGAAGTAGGAAGTTCTGGTGGTGAAAGGCGAGATTTCTCTGCGCGCGAGAGCACACAGGGCATCATAATTGCTCTTCTCGCCCGCAGAACAGGGCGTGAAATTTGATTTCCGGCGGCGCAACGTCGTGTTGAATCTTATTTGCGCGCCGCAGAACGGTGTGTGCGTGTATTGTGGCGCTCACTCGTTCGCACACACACAAGCAGCACCCCCATGGCCAAAGGGTTGCGAGAGGGATGAAGTTGCCGGTCGGGATCGGGTTGAGCAGCTCGCTCGCTGATCACTCATGCCTGCAGTTATTCAAGTTTCGCCCTCACACGCTTTGAACACTTTCGCGTTCCAACGCACATTATTTCGACGGCGGCGACGACCGAGTTTCTATCGGAGAAACTTACCTGCTTGGCCTCGTTCAAGTAAATTGAGAGCTATTTCAAAGGCGACAATTCAGTGAACTCACTTCATAAACGCTAAAAAATTCCGCTAATTTCCTGACTCATTCACGAATAAATTGTAGGAAATAAAATATTTAATTGTTTGTTACGTTCACACCAAGGCAACACATTAGAAATAGTCTTAAATTTTAAGCAAATAGGCACTATGCACCACTTAAAACTGAATAATTTTTCTATTATTTTGCTATTAAAAGTTAGCAAATGACTAGCAAAGGATTTCATCAATCAATTTTCCTAAATGAAATTTAAATTTTGCAAGAAATAAAAAATCTCAAAAAGATTTTCTAATTGTAAGACATTTTGATTTGCATTTTTTTGTCTAATTTATGTTCATTTTAGACCTGACATGTAAATATTCTGGTCACCAAAACAAAAATAAATTTGATTTGCGAATTTATTAAAAATTTTTGGAATATTTATTTAACAGCTGAAAAATTTTGATCAGATACACTTTAAAAAAATTCTTTGCTCAAATAGAATCATTTTGCATAAATTTCACATAAAGATCTCAGCAAAATTTACATTCTTAGGATTGTTAATTAAATTATTCTGGTGTAAAAACATAAATGAATTCAGAGTTCTATTTTGGGAAAGTGTAATTTTGGAAAGGAGT